GTCTGGATGTGGCTAAGTGAGGAACAGAGGGAAGGGCTCCTCAGAGAGAGGGAACAGCCTGGCCAGTGGCCCTGAGGCAGCATAGAGCGTGCCCTGTTTGAAGATCGAAAGAAGGCAGGTGTGGCTCGGGGTAGTGAGTGGAGGGACAACTATGGATTTTGGAAGCCACAGAGAGGAGAGTAGACTTTATTCTGGGCTATGGGAAGAATGGAAAGTTTTTTTGTGTGTGTTTGTTTATTTGAAACAGGGTCTCACTCTGTCACCCAGGATGGAGTGCAGTGGTACAATCACAGCTCACTGAGGCCTCAACCTTCCCAGGCTCAGATAATCCTCCTGCCTCAGCTTCCTTGGTAGCTGGGGCTACAGGTGCGCCACCACCATGCCCTGCTAATTTTTTGTATTTTTTTTTTTGCAGAGATGGGGTTTTCACTATGTTGTCCAGGCTGCTCTTGAACTCCTGGGCTCTACTGATCCATCTGCCTTGGCTTCCCAAAGTGTGGGGATTACAGGCGTGAGCCACCACTCTCGGCTGAGAGTTTTGAGCAAGAGGTGATTTGACAGCCATTTAAAAAAGATTTGTCTGGGCCGGTTGCAGTGGCTCATGCCTGTAATCCCAGCACTTTGGGAGGCCAAGGTGGGTGGATCACGAGGTCAGGGGTTTGAGACCAGCCTGACCAACATGGTGAAACCCCGTCTCTACTAAAAATACAAAAACTAGCCGGGTGTGGTGGCAGTCACCTGTAATCCCAGCTACTCAGGAGGTTGAGGCAGGAGAATTGCTTGAACCTGGGAGGCGGAGGTTGCAGTGAGCCGAGATCGCAACACTGCACTCCAGCCTGGGCGACAGAGCGAGACTTCATCTCAAAAAAAAAAAAAAAAAAAAAAAAAAAAAAAAAAAATTCGCCCTTTAGGTGGACATTGTATGTAGTTTGGTTCATTGCTTCAACGCTGGCACCTGGAAACAGGGCCTGGCACACAAAGTGAAATATTTCAGTCTGGAGTCAACTGCCCAGCTCCCCCACTAACAAGCAGAGCAGCCTTGGTGCCCCAGTGACCATGAAAGCCAACCCGTTGTCACAAACTCTCAAAATACCATGAATTAAGGACAGAGGGATCTGGAGTGAGCTGTCCAGGTGCGTGGGGCAGCCCCTGGGCATCGTCCTTGCTTTCATGCTGGAAACCAGGTTGTGGCACACCCACGTGGTGGGAAAGGAGACCAAGTCGGGACAAGCTCTTTCCAGGTGTGGTGGCTCATTACACTCATCACATCTGCCCTTGTTCCATTGGTCACTCGGTCTCAAAACAGCCACATCTAACTTTCAGGGAGGGCGGTGAATGGGGGTCCCGGGATAATGCAGCCTCTAGCTGGGCAGCCTAGTGACCAATTCCAATCCTCTCTCCTGGAAGGTGGGAGGGATGGGTTTTGTTGGATAACTGGCTGCCTGTGCCATTTAGCCTTCGTTTTCTCATCTGCGAAGGGGAGATCATAACAGAATGTACCTCATAGGGATGTTGTGAAGTTAAATGAATTAATCGAGATGCTTTTTCTAAGGGATTATTTGGTGATGCCACACAGCTTAGAAAATAAGGCTTATGGGCCGGGCACAGTGGCTCACGCCTGTAATCCCAGCACATCGGGAGGCCGAGGTGGGCGGATCACGAGGTCAGGAGTTCGAGACAACCCTGGCCAACATGGTGAAACCCTGTCTCTACTAATAATACAAAAATTAGCTGGGCATGGCGGCGGGTGCCTGTAATTCCAGCTATTTGGGAGGCTGAGGAAGTAGAATTGTTTGAACCCAGGAGGTGGATGTAGCTCATGCCTGTAATCCCATCACTTTGGGAGGTCAAGGCAGGAGGATCTCTTGAACCCAGGAATTCCAGACCAGCCTGGGCAACATAGCAAGACGTCATCTCTGCAAAAAATTAAAAAATTAGCCAGGCATGGTAGCACACACCTGTAGTCTCAGCAGCTCAAGAGGCTGAGGCAGGAGGATCGCTTGAGCCTGGAAGGTGGAGGCTGCACTGAGCTATGATTGTGCCACTGCACTCCAGCCTGGGAGACACAGTGGGACTCTGTCTCAAAACAAAACAAAATCCCCACCCCGCCACAAACCAAACAAACATCTACAGATCAAGATTCCAGTTCTATGTCCCTATGAGGGGAGTACATGAATGGCCCCCATTTCAGAGATGTAGGCAAACTGAGGCTCAGCAATGAGGACCCTGGGTGCCCTGGGGCCTGCCTGACTCTGTCCTCCATCCGCAGAGCTGTCCTGGTTCCAGACGGTGGGGGAGTCGGCCCTGAGCGTAGAGCCCTTCTCCTACGAAGGCGAGCCTCACATTGTGCTGGCACAGCCCTTCGCCGGCCGCTGCCTGATCCTCTCCTGGGACTACAGCCTGCAGCGCTTTCGGCCCGAGGAAGAGCTGCCCGGTGAGCCCCTCCCCGTCCTTCTGCCTGTCCAGCATCCTGCCTGGCCGGCCTGACCTGCCTCCCCACCTCCCCACAGCGCCCTCCGTGGTGTCCTGCAAGCCACTGGTGCTGGGCCCGAGCCTCTTCGTGCTGGCCGCCCGCCTGTGGGGGGGCTCACAGCTGTGGGCCCGGCCCAGTCCCGGCCTGCGCCTGGCCCCAACGCAGACCCTGGCCCCGCGGCGGCTGCTGCGGCCCAATGACGCCGAGCTCCTGTGGCTGGAAGGGCAGCCCTGCTTCGTGGTGGCCGACGCCTCCAAGGCAGGCAGCACCACGCTGCTGTGCCGCGACGGGCCCGGCTTTTACCCGCACCAGAGTCTGCACGCCTGGCACAGGGATACGGACGCTGAGGCCCTGGAACTGGACGGCCGGCCCCATCTGCTGCTGGCCTCGGCTTCCCAGCGGCCCGTGCTCTTCCACTGGACCGGTGGCCGCTTCGAGAGACGCACAGACATCCCTGAGGCCGAGGATGTCTATGCCACACGCCACTTCCAGGCTGGTGGGGACGTGTTCCTGTGCCTCACACGCTACATTGGGGACTCCATGGTGAGGCTGGGCCTGGGGGCGGGGGATGCACAGCCAGACCTGATGCTACAGCTGACTCTTATTGAGGGCTGGCTTTTCAGCACCGACCCAATCTTGCATACTAAGCCTCTAAATTCTGACCTAGCCTCACATGCTGACCTTTGAACCAGGACCCCACCCCACATTGATGCCAAGACTCTGACCCCCTCAAGGCAGACTGACCCTAAACCACTCCCCAGTCCCCAACACTTGACACTGGCCCCAACATCCTGATTCTACCCCCAGATGCTGGCTCTGTGACTCGGATGCATTCCACACTTCACCACAGCCGCACCTGTCCCCACCCTGACACTGAGCCCCCAAGGCTGACGCTGGGGTTAAGCCCTGCCCACTCTGTTTCTGGAGTGAGGTGCAGGCAGGGGAGGGTTCTGAGCCTGGAAGGGTCCTGATCTGACTTAGGTGTTCACAAGGTCTCTGGGTGGGGAAGAGACTGGGGGAGCAGGGAGAGGAACCTAGAGACCAGGGAAGAGGTTACCAGGATGGTCCATTCGGGAGGGGATGGAGTTCGGCCAGAGGTGGTGGGAGAAATGTACAACTACAGTAGGTGAAACTGACAGTCTATGGCTGAGTGCTTCTGTGTGGGGTGTGAGGGCAAGAGAAGGGCTCAGAACAACTCCGTGTGTGTGGCCAAACAGCTGGGTGGTGACCTTTAGGAAGATAAGAAAGCTATGGGAGTTTCGGGACCGACAAGCTTCAGCTTCCAAGCTCTTCCAGGGCCCCCAGAGACCCCCAGGACCCCAGGCCCTCACTGGCCACACCCCCACAGGTCATGCGCTGGGACGGCTCCATGTTTCGTCTGCTGCAGCAACTTCCCTCACGCGGTGCCCACGTCTTCCAGCCACTGCTCATCGCCAGGGACCAGCTGGCCATCCTGGGCAGCGACTTTGCCTTCAGTCAGGTCCTCCGTCTTGAGCCTGACAAGGGGCTCCTGGAGCCGCTGCAGGAGCTGGGGCCCCCGGCCCTGGTGGCCCCCCGTGCCTTCGCCCACATCACTATGGCCGGCAGACGCTTCCTCTTTGCTGCTTGCTTTAAGGGCCCCACACAGATCTACCAGCATCACGAGATTGACCTCAGTGCCTGACACCACCAACAGGACTCTGGGCATGGCTGGGGCCCCGGGATGGCCCCTTGTCTGGCTCCTGGCCCCACTTGGGGTGATGGCCACCTGTGAGCTGCTGACCATGGGCCACGTTCATCAGCCATACGTCTAGGCCTTAAGCCCACTTCTTAAAGGATCTGCACCCATGGGGTGACATAGAGGGTCACAGCCTATTGGACCTCCCGAGCTGCCCTTCAGGTCTAAAGCAACATCTGGACATCTCGGCTGGGACAGATTCCCCATCAAAGGCAACCTGGGGGTGCAGGCTGGTGCACTGCATGGAGTCGAGGTGGACATCACCTGCAGAGCTCCATGAGGTCCGGAAGTCCCCTCTCAACCCGCTCCCACCCCCGCTGGTCCCTCTGAAAGCACTGAGGAGTCGATGGCATTCCTTTCCCATTCTAAACTCCATGCAGCCAATCGCTTTCCTGGAAAAGCACCAACCTCAAAGCCAACTCAGCGCTGGGCGTGTTCCCCTTTGCTGCTGTGCGCATGCGTGCGGCCGCCAGGCGCGCTGTGCCTCTTGCGCCTCTTGCGCGTGCGCGGGGCACAAGGAGGGACGGCGGGAGGTGTCGCGGGGAGCCCGGTGCCCTCCTGGATGGGCGATGGAGGCAAGGACAAGAAGAGTCCGAGCTCAATAAATGCGCTGTGCACCCTGCCCGCCCAGTGTTGTGGATGCTTGGGAGAGGATGTCCTGTGAACAGCACAGGGTGGGGATGGTGTCCCTGGAGCAGTGCTAAGAGCGGCCCAGGTCCCAGGGAGGCGTTTCCGCAGCTCATGGTCTCTGAGTGTGGGTTGGTGGTTATCGAGGGACTCAGGGGATGTTTGAGGGATTAAACGGCATGATGAGGGGACAAGTCACGAGTTTATTGTGGGTCACTATTTGGGTTCATGTCTCAGGACATTGGGGGAGACATTTTTGGTTGTTTTTAGTTTTAGGCATTTTGTGGGGTAGTTCACGGGAACATTTTGGATGCCTTAATAAGTACTGGGGAGGCTCAAGGGAGTTTGAGGCTTGTTGGAAATTCTCACACTATGTGGTCACCGTATGTCATTAAGGGTAGCATAGGGAATTATTTAACGGGCTTGCAGGGACATTTGGGTATTTGGAAAGATCTTGGAATAAATTGAGGTCCCGGGGGTGAATGAAAGGGTCACAGGAGTCTCACTGTTATAAACTGAACACTTCCATCATGGTAGGATGCTCCTATGTTCCAGTTTTCCTGGGATGGTCCAGGGTCCACTGGAATGTTCCAGTGTTCCATCTGGTTAGAGCTCTCTCATTCCTTTGGCTACTAGTAAATCCCAAATTGCATATGAGGTTCCCATGGCTGAGGAGGCAGAGGGCGGGCCTGTGCCATGCCCCAAGCCACAAGGGAACAGGCCTGTGGGCTTTTCCCAACAAGCAGGCTCAGCGCCAGCCTCTGTGTCAGCCTCCAGGACACGCCGACCTTCTCATGGTGCCCCAAGCCCCACCCCAGTGTACACATAGGAAGTCTCCAGGCTGCTTGGGCAGAGGCACAATCATTTTAGATTAAAAAAAAAAAAATTGAACAAAGAGACCCTCCTGTGAGAGGTGAGATGAGGCCCTGCAGTGCAAGGGAGTCCCAGCAGAGAGAGAATTCCATCCTGGAGTTCAAGTTTCTGTGCAGAGACAGGACCTGGGGACAGAGAACGGTCCTCCACCCACTTTCAGCTGGTCCGTCTTCATCAGTTATGGGCTGAGCCTGGGGGAGGTGACGGGGTCCGTTTGTGAGGGTGGATTGAGTTTTCTTGCCAGTGTGCATGCGCATGCGCGCACACACACACCACTTCCGTGTTCCCCTCAGCCCCATGCTGCCCCATCTTTACCTGGGGTGATGAGAGGTGGAGTCTCCCCTGGATGGTGACTAAGGAGACAAAAGCGGTGAGATCCGTGTCCACCCCCATTTGCCCTCTCCCTCCGGGTAGAGGGTTCTTAGCCTGCCCAGACATGTCTTCCTGGCTGCTTTTCCACTTGGGGGGTTGTGCAATCCCAGGGGCCAAAGCATTTCAGGATTTGGGGCCCTCCGGGGATTACCAGCTAGAAACCATGAACCTGGAAATCTTAGCAGCAGGAACTCTGCAGGGCAGAGCCCGGAGGCCTCTCCTGCTGGGACAGTTAGCCCTTTCACCCTGAAAAGCATCCAGCCAGCCTGAGGCGGGCATGCCGGAACAGTATCTTACCTGGGCTTCTGGCCGAACTTACATTTGCATTTTCCACCTGTTGGGGAGAGCTGAGTGGTCAGGGGAGGGGAGCCCCAGCCCCGGCCCGCCTGCTCCCCCCAGCTCCTTCACTCACTCATGACAATGATGATGCCCATGGCACACAGAACCCCAGCGCAGATGAGCCCGCCAACCTGGAGGCTGTGCCAGTCTAGGAGGAAAGTGGAGGGGACCTCAGTGCCAGGCTATGTCCTCTCCATCCATCCCCCCATCCTCTTGACAAATACATATGGAGCATCTAGGATGCGCAGGGTGCCGGAGACACCGCCATAAGAAAACAGACAAAATCCTAAGTGCTCACATTCTAGTTCACACACCAGCAAACAAGATCTGTCATGCAGGGTCAGGCAGAGATAAGTGGTCTGAAGAAAAATAAGCAGGGTGGGAGATGGAAAGTCAGAGGGCAGGCTGGGCATAGTGGCTAACACCTATTAGGTTGGTGCAAAAGTAATTACGTTTTCGGCTAGGCACAGTGGCTCACGCCTGATATCCCAGAACTTTGGGAGGCTGAGGTGGGCAGATCACGTGAGATCAAGAGTTCCAGACCAGCCTGGCCAACATGGTGAAACCCAGTCTCCACTAAAAATACAAAAATTAGCCAGGCGTGGTGGCAGGCGCCCGTAATCTCAGTTACTCGGCAGGTTGAGGCAGGAGAATCATTTGAACCCGGGAGGCGGAGGTTGCGGTGAGCCAAGACTGCCAAGATTGCGCCATTACACTCCAGCCAGTCACACTCTGGGTGAAAGAGCAAAATTCTGCCTCAAAAAAAAAAAAAAATGCACTTTTGCCATGAAAAGCGGTTGCAAAAACCACAATTACTTTTGAACCAACCTAATATACAGAGCTTTGAGACTTCAGGAGTTTAGGAGTTCTAGACCAGCCTGAGCAACATAGTGAGACCCCATCTCTACAAAGTATACAAAAATTAGCCAGATATGGTGGTGCATGACTGCAGTCCCAGCTATTCAGGAGGCTGAGGCAGGAGGATCGCTTGAGCCCAGGAATTTGAGGCTGCAGTGAGCTATGATTACGCCATAGCACTCCAGCGTGGGCAACAAGTCAGAGGGCAGCTCTTTTCGAGGGAGTTGTCAGGGAAGGCCTCTTAGGGGGCTGCATTTGAGCAGAGGGAAGGGAGGGAGCCATTTGGTTCTATGGAAGGAAGTGTTCCAGGCAGAGGAACCAGCAAGTGCAGAGGTCTGAGGCTGGCAGTATGTCTGCGGTGTCTGAGAGGCTTGGAGCAGAAGGAGTGAGGAGCGTGGAGGAGGTGAGGGCAGAGCGGGGAGTAGGGAGCAGGTCATCAGAACCTGGAGACCAGATGAGGGTTTTGACCGAACAGCTCACCACCTCCAGGAAGTCTTCTCAAGTCAACACTTCTCCCAGCAGTTGATGTGAACCAAACAATGGCTTCTTGCAAACTGTCCTCACCTCCTGCGTGTGTCTAACTATCTTGCTGGAATAGAACCTTCCCAAAGGCCAGGTTGCTGCCTCTAGTTCCTTTAATCCCCCATGTGGACTCTTCAGTGCCCCCATCTTAGTCCCTTCCTATCTTTGTCCTGTGACGCTCACATCAGACCCTCACCCAATCCTGTGTGGGAACCCTTGGCACCAAGCAGTATGTGGGGTTAGGGGGAAGGGAATGGGGGCACAGGCTCTCACCATAGTAGAAAGGACTGTTTTTATCTGCAAGGAAAGAAAAAACTTCATGAATCCAGGATTACAGCCAGGATGCAGGCCCCGCTCCCACCCAGGGGAGAATTTGGGGGTGGGACAGGTGAAAGAGTCCAGTCTGACTCACCTTCTGGGTCATTGGCGTCCAGGACAGGCAAGCCTGGTGGGAGAAGAGGGGAAGGAGGGGAGATGGTGATGCTGGCCTCAGCCAAGCCCTTGGGCAGGGCCCGTGGAGTTTCAGGGGCCTTGGGAAAGGGTCCCCTGAGGGACAGGGGTCCTGTCACTGAGCAGCCGCCTCATCCCCTCATATCCCATCATGGAAATGTGAACTCGCCCACTCAGCCCCACACCTCCGAGTCATGCCAGCATTCTACCACCTGAAATTGGTTCTAATCTAGGAGGGTTTTGGCCACTGTCTGGTCTCGTGTTTCAGACACGTGGTTAATCCATGCCTTCTGCAGCAGCAAGGGACTTTTCTGGTCAAGACGACAGATGGTTTCAGTTCCCAGATTCCTGTTTCCCCAAGTCCCATCATGCTCAAAGCCCATCCTCCCGCTTCCACCATGTCCACACCCACCTGGTCTGGTGTTTGCACATCATTAAAATGACTCACTATTATACACTTAAATAGACTTTATTGAAAATGTAATTTTAGATCACTACCCTGCAGGGAATACTAGTCTTGCCCTGTGTAATGGATAAAAAGTGTGCCTATAATCCCAGAGCTTTGGGAGGCAGACGTGGAAGGATTCCTTGAGCCTGGGAGGTCAAGGCTGCAGTGAAAAAGTAAAAAGGGGACTGGGCGCAGTGGCTTAGGCCTGTAATCCCAACACTTTGGGAGGCCGAGGCAGGAGGATCACTTGAGGTCAGGAGTTCGAGACCAGCCTGGCCAATATGGTGAAACCTTGTCTCTTCTAAAAATATAAAAGTTAGCCAGGCATGGTGGCACATGCCTGTAATCCCAACTACTTGGGAGGCTGAGGCAGGAGAATCACTTGAACCCGGGAGGTGGAGGTTGCAGTAAGCTGAGTTCATGCCACTGCACTCCAGCCTGGGCAACAGAGCGAGACTCTGTCTCAAAAAAAAAAAAAAAAAGAAAAGAAAAGAAAGAAAGAAAAAAGAGGAAAAGTGTTTGGAAGTTAAAGATGCAGTCGCACCGAGCTGAGCCTTCTACTTGAAGTTTTTGGAAAATTTACAAGAGAACTGGCTGGGCAGTTATCTCATTTCAGTGCTTTGAAGGTGTAATTTCATTGTATTCTAGCTTCCATTATTTATGTTTAATAGTCAATCAAGGCCAGTGCAGTGTGGCTCGTGCCTGTAATCCCAGCACTTTGGAAGGCTGAGGTGGGAGGATCAAACTCAGCCAGAAGTTTGAGATCAGCTTGGGCAATACAGTGAGACCTCGTCTCTGCAAAATATTTAAAAATGAGCTGGGCTTGGTGGTGTGTGCCTAGAGTTCTAGCTGTGTAAGGCTAAGGGAGTAGCATTGCTTGACCCCAGGAGTTCAAGGCTGTAGTGAACTGTGATTGCACCATTGCACTCCAGCCTGAGTGACAGAGACTCCCTTTCAAAAAAAAAAAAGAAAGAAAGAGCGAGAGAATGGGGAAGATGGTGACTTTCCAGCTGTGCGAGCCAGCTCTTCTTGTGTATCCCTGGCAATCACTAGTTTGACTTTACTTACCCTCAAGGAGATGCTGTTCTAACATTTACCACCTTCCCTGGGGTGGTAGAAAAGCACAGGAGAGAGACAGAGGCTTGGCAGCCCCCCCATCCAGGGGATCCAGAGGAAAAGGCAGTTGGGGGATGGGTACTCACCTACCAGGAACACAAGCAGGCCCAGGGTCACCTTCTGCATGTCAGAGCGCGGGCCTAGAGGGGTGGCAGGAGGTCCGGCCTTAGCAGAGCCACTGGGAGGCTGGCCCTGTGCCTATGGCTCCCCAACCCTCCTCCCCTGCTCCCCAGGCAGGATGCGCAGTTCACCCAGGGCAAGAAGGCTGACATCTCGCTGGGCTGAGAGATAAGCCGCAGCCGCGCCGTGGAGTGGGGACTGGGTGAAACTCGGGCCTGACGCGGGAGGAGCCATAATAACTCACTGGACATGGACCAGGCTTTCTGTGAATCGCCCCGCAACCAAATGAGGGCACCACTGCCCGCTGTTGTCCTCATTGGACAGATGGGGAAACTGAGGCTCTGGGAGGCGAAACTAGGTGCCCTAGCCAGGAAGCAGGATTTAAGCCAGGCCTGGCTCCCCAGCAGCTGCTCCTAACTAAGGACTGTCAGGGCCTTGGGGTGTTTGGGGAAGCCAGGTGCTGGGAGCCAGGTGGCAGGAGGCCTGCTTCCCGGGGGTGTCTCCATAGACGGCTCAGAGCCTGCCTGGCCCTGCCAGGACATTGCAGACTTCAGGCTGCGGACTGAGCAGGTTCTTCAAGCTGCTCAGGGCGGGGTGTGTGGAGCAATTGACTTGAGGCTGAGACTGGGGGTAGAGGGGGACAAACTCAGCCTGGCTGCAGCCCTAGCTCCATCTCTGTTCCCCAGAACCTCCTGCCCCTCACCCCTCACCCATGCCCTTCCCGGTCCCAGCCCTGACCCTGCCTAGCCTGAGTCCCCAGCCCAGCCCCTGACCCTACCCTAGGCCCCGCAGAGCACTTTCTTTCCTAGGTAGACCTGCTCAGCATAAGGAACTTGTTTCTCTCTCCTTCCTGACCTGGCATCAGTCCTGCCCTCCCAGCCTGCAAGGCTGCACCAAGCCCGGGCCTCCAAGCATGCCCTCCCCTGCCCTGTTCCTGCCCAAATGCTGAGTGCATAGTTATCATAATTGTTTTTATTTTTTCTCTTTTTTTTGAGGCGGAGTTTCACTCTGTCGCCCAGGCTAGAGTGCAATGGCACAATCTCAGCTCACTGCAACTTCTGCCTCCTGGGTTCAAGCAATTCTCCTGCCTCAGCCTCCCGAGTAGCAGAGACTACAGACGTGTGCCACCATGCCTGGCTAATTTTTGTGTTTTTGGTAGAGACAGGATTTCACCATGTTGGCCAGGTTGGTCTCGAACTCCTGACCTCAGGTGATCCACCCACCCGGGCCTCCCTAAGTGCTGGGATTACAGGTGTGAGCCACCGCACCTGGTCTAGTTATAATTTTGATAGCGAGAGCTGGTACTTCCTCCACCTTGCCCTGGGGTGCACACTGACCTTGCTGTGTTCTCACTCAACCCCCCAGCAATTTCATGGACAGCAAAAATGCTGAGAGAGGGTGGCGCCACAACCAACGGTGCGGGTGGTCCCTGCAGGTTGGCACAGACTCCTCCCTCTGCCTACGCACCCCAGGGCCTGGGAATCCTCTCAGCTTCCCAGTTAATTCCACATGCTGAACTCACAATTTTAGTTTGAGCATCCATTTCTTTTCCTTTTCCTTTTTTTTTTTTTTTTGTGGGAAGAAAGCCTGAGACTTTGGGGAGCATTACTGAGACCCAGGAAGTGTTTAAGATCCCCAAAAGTGTTGGGGGTCGGGGGAGCTGGTGTGGGTGGGTGGGCAGGATGGCATGGTGGATAGGGGCACAGGTTGTAGGTAGACTGCCTGTGGTCTGAAGCTGTCACCCATAACCATATGAGTCCTGATAACAGCAGCAGATGTTTATTGAGTGTCTACCCCACGGGGCATTTCCTTAGCTTCCCACTTATTTGCTCAATCTCTGCAGCTTAATGTAGGGGGCACTATTATTAGCACACATTGCAGTTGTAATCCTGTAACCCCTGCAAATTCATCTTAAAGCCCTATGCTCTGTCGCCGTGGCTGTTGAGTCTCACCTCTTAAGCCTCTTTCCAGGGGCTCCTCCAAGCCACCTCTGGCCTGCAAGGCCCCACTATTCCCCCTTCCCATGATGTCATCCAGCCAAGACTAACAGATGGTATTTGCCTCGCCCCAGCCCCAGCCCCAGCTTCTGCAAAACAATGTCCAGCCCCACGTTTCTGGAGGCTGCAGGGAGCCGGGAGCTGGGTCTGCCCTCACATTCCCGATTCAGGCTATTGCTGAAGAGGCCCTGGACTGCTCCCAGACCAATGTGGTTGGTGGGCAGGTTAGAGAGGAAGGCAGCCCTGCAGCTGATGCTCTGTCTACCTGCCCTGATCCTTCCTGGCCACGAGGTCCCAAGGCCGGCCTGAGGACTGTTTGCCCCACCTGCCCTCTGCTATCCCCTCTATTCCTCCATACTGTAGGAGAAATGTCTCATGTTCAGGGGGGGCAGAAAGATCCTGCCTGCTCTGTGCTCCTGAAATCTCCCAAGCAACTCCGTATTTACAACTTCCCCAACAGCTCTGTCCTCTTTTCCTGGAGGTTTCCAGAATCCACATCCCTCAGTGCCTGGACACCCCGAGTGCATCTAGCACTCCTCATCCACATAGATGTCCCCAGTCCATCTACGCACACCTGGTCCACTTAGATACCCCTACCTACCCAGGCACCCCCCTCTCTTCCACCCAGATATCCCCAACCCAGATACCCCTAATCCATGCAGACATCAGTCTTCCCAGACACCCCAACCACATTTACCAGTCCTGCCCTCACCCCAGCCAGCTCAACCAGTCCCTGAGAGGAGAATGGTGGGGAAAGGGACATTAGGGGAAGGGACTTTCTCCTATCTCCTGGCTCCAGAAAAACATTTCCAAAGATTTTAGGCTCTTTAACAGCAGAGCTTGTGTGTGGCAGGGTCAGTGGGCAGGTAGATACTCCCTCGTTTAGGGGCAGAGCCAAGGAGGGCTTGGAGGAAGGGGGCCCCAGCTGCTCACCTGTGTGGTTCACCAGGCTGTGCAGAGGTTCCGGGAGAAATCGGGGCTGCAAGGCGGAGTCCTGCCTTTATCCGAAGCTGCCACGCCCTGAGCAAACCTGGGCAGGTAGAAAACAAGTCAGATGCCCTAAGGCCCAGGGGCTCTGTTCCTGCTCTTAAAGAGACAGCTTCACCCCCTCCCCAGCCATCCCAGCCATGGGCAGCACGTTGCTCCCGGGGGTCACCAGGGCCACAGCAGCCTCAGGTGAGACAGAGAATTGGATGGGCTGGAGCTCAGTCCCTGGAATTAAGGGAGGACGCTCTCCAATCTTCTGTGCCCAGGAGAGGACCTTGAATGGGGAAGGTTCTGGGGTCTTTAAACGGCAGAGCCTCCAGGGCCATGCAGGGAAGTGATGTGTTGGTGTTCCGACCTGACTTCTTTCCCTTAGATGATGTGTTTTGCCTGGTGGAAGGACTGCTGGCAATTGTGGGGGACTTAAATTCCCCTTCCAGGCCACAGCTTGCTGCAGGGACAATTTCAGGGTTATCAGAGACGCTGGCATGACCAAAGTCAGGAGATGGGGCAGGGGTGCATATGAGGGAGCGGCTGGAACAGCAGGGAGGGGCCAGGGTGGGGACTCTGGGACCTTAGTCCTGGTCATAACCTGCTCCCTGCCCTGGGGAGAATGAGAACTGGCTCCCAGGCACCAGGCTGGAGTTTCCTAGCCAAACTCTTTCCGTGGGTGCTGGGAGAGCCAGATGTCCGGGTCTACAGAGTGGGCGCTGGTGGGGGCGGCTGCCTCCTAGTCTAGATAAGGCCCCCTGCATTGTACAAGGCTCCCTCCCCTTTTCCTCCCCCGTCTCCTGCTCCTCCTCCCCTCCAGGCATTCCTTCCGGATGGGGTCTGTGCAGGCTCCCCCATGGTCCCAGTTGGGGGTGCCCCCTCCCCTCAATTCCGCCTTCTTAGACAGAGGGACTTTTGTCTGGGGGCTGGATGGAGAACAAGGATCCTTTGAGCGGTTGGCGGAGGATTGGGGTCACGGGGAGGGGTAGGGCCAGGAAAGGGGTAGCTCTGCCCTGGACACCAGCTGGACTCCAGGCGACCCCAACACCATCGTGGGGGCAGGGAGGAGGGCTGCAGGGCCAGGCCAGGGAGAAACAGCTGCTGGGAGTGTGGAGCCCAGGACAGGAAAAGGGGGTTTAGGTCAAGGCTCTGCCGGAAACTGGCCTGCTGGGGGCAGAGAGAAGGACCCCCCACTTGTCATCTCTGAGGGATGGGGGCGGAGAATGCTCGCCAGCGCTACACCCTTTCTCTATGTGGTTCCCTGGGGCAAGTTGTCAAATCCAGGCCCTAGACAAGGACAAGGCTCCCTGCTACCCCTGTTAAGGTGGGGCCAGTTCCCATAAGAAAGCGGCGCGGGGAGGGGGCGCGGCGGGGGGGCTCGGGGTAGGACTCCAAGCAAGAGGCCTAGGAGGAGATAGAAACAGCAAGGGGAGGCCCGGAGGCTAACTCAGTCTAGCTAGTGGGGGGTCTTTGTGTCTGTGTAGATAGCATCTCTTCCCCAGACCCTTCAAGCTTGGTTGTGTCTGGGACGACCCCTTGGTGGTCTTGGGAGTGGAATGGTGTCTCCCTCTGCTGGGCAGCCTGGGAACTGCAGGCATCAGAGAGCAAGTCGGGGTGCGTGCAGGGTGGCTGGGAAGGGCGGGTGACGCTCTGCCCTTCACTGGAACGGGGTGAACTGGAAAACTGTTGCCTAAAAATCCTGGAGGAACCCCCCTGCCCGTGGATAGATACAGAGGTATTTCCCAGACAGCTTGCTAAGCGGAAAAAAACAAGGTGTAGGGAAACCGTGGAACGTGCTACCATTTGTGAGCGGTAAAATAATGCATATTCATATACTTGTAATGAATAAAATATTTTTGGAGATTGGCATCCATGGGTGCTTCTGTAGAAGGAAACTGGGAGGCTGGAGGATGGGGTGGAAGTGAGACGCACTCATCATCACGTGCCCTCTTATATGTTTTGAATTTTGCATCCTGAAAATGTACTACCTTAAAGAGGTTTAATTTAAAAACTTTGAATCAGATTTTTAAAAAAAATTTGTAGGTCAAACAAACCACATCTGTCGACTGGTTTCAGCCTGGGGGACCAGCAATTCGAGACTTCTGACAACCTCTGAAGGTTCTGTAGTTTTAAACACCATGATCTTACATTCTGATGTACAGATGTTTACGGTTGTCACCCAACCCAGGTCAACCACAAATTCTTCCTAGGCTGGACGTGAACATGCTGCATCCAAGTGTGTGTTGGGCTGGGGCTGGGGCTTAGGGTTTATGGTCAGGAGGACTATGAGACCCCAGTGTGATGAGCACACTGAGACCCTTAGGAAGGGCTGTAGGGAGCAGAGTTTGTGCAGTCACTTGCACCCTATCGGGGATCAGGTCTCTTTTGGAGTGAGTCTTAAGGGCCAATTTGACTTCAGTTAGGTTTTAAATGCACATAGGTAATATGTTTTATTAATATATTGTATATAATACAGACAATAAACATATTTGAAAAAGTCTCTTTCATTTTGCTTTTGGAATCATGTGGGCCCAAAGAACCTGTTGAGGCTGTGAGTGGCTGTGATTTCTCCATATCCTGGGAATTCTTACAAAATGAAAAAAAAAAACCAAACCTACAGAGAGTTTCTGAACACCACAAGGTTTTCAGGAACGCTGAATTAAAGCACAGAATCGAAGCCAGAGCATGTTATACCATCCCTGATTCAAACTTTTATTGATTTTGTTTCAATCATTTCATTGCTCTTTACTTAAGGCTGGGAGTGTTTCTGCAGGCTCCTAGCCCTGAGAGGGGTGCTGGTTGGGTGGGGTCCTGCCTTTGCAGGTAGAGCCTGAGTGGTCAGGCTGACTGGCTGGGAGGTGTGGTCACAGTGGTATGCCAAGGTCCCGCTTCCTGGGCAAGATGGGGTCAGAGAGGCCGGTGGACAGGGCGATATGGCTTCCTGAGGCTTTGTGGAACAGCGTTGTGGTCTCAGCATCTGTGGGAGAAGAGTGGGCGCTGGCAGGTAGCCCTGTCCAGCCACCATGGAGATGGTATGGCTGTGGACGTATCGCTGTCTGCCTGGCTTCCAGGAGCCACGTGAGGTGACACAGTGGCCAAGAGTCCACAGGCTCCCTGACATCTGTCTCTGTGCTGTTCTGATGTCATCACTCATCAACAGAAGCTAGAAATGGAGACTTCTATGATGAAATCTCCTGATTTTTTTTTTTTTTTTTTTTGAGATGGAATTTTGCTCTTGTTGCCCAGGCTGCAGTGCAGTGGCACAATCTCAGCTCACTGCAACCTCTGCCTTCTGGGTTCAAGCAATTCTTGTGCCTTAGCCTCCCAAGTAGGTGGGATTACAGGTGTGTGCCACCACACCCAGCTAATTTTTGTATTTTAGTAGAGACGGGGTTTCACCATGTTGGCCAAGCTGGTCTCCAACTCCTGATCTCAAGTGATTCGCCTGCCTCAGCCTCCCAAAGTGCTAAGATTACAGACATGAGCCACCATGCCTGGCCCCTGATTATTTTTTTCTTTTAAGAGGTGAGTTCTTGCTCTGTTGCCCAAGCTGGAATGTACTGGTGCAATGATGGCTCACTGCAGCCTCCAACTCCTGGGCTTAAATTAAATGATCCTCCCACCTCAACCTCCCCTGCAACTGGGACTACAAATGCACATCACCACACATGGCTAATTTTTAAATTTTTTTTAGAGGCAGGGGTCTCGCTATGTTGCCCAGCCTGGTCTTGAACTCCTGATCTCAAGTGATCCTCCCACCTTGGCTTCCCAAAGTGCAGGGATTACAGGTGCAAGCCACTGCACCCGGCCCTGATTTTTAAATGTTGGTAACTTCGTTTTCTTAACACTTTGTAGACAGAATGAAAAATATCCAGTGGTTGGATAAGGCCCTGGGGCCACCAGTTGGAGTCCCCCATCTTAGGGACTCGGCAAACTCGGGAGGTTCAGGGCCCCCGCCCAACCCCTATTGTCACTCACTCTGCTCTGGCCACCTGGGCCTCCTTGCCGTTCCTGGATCACTCCAGGCGTGTTTCTGGCCAAGAGCCCTCGCAATGGCTATTCCCTTGCCTGGCTCTTTTCTCCCACATCTGGATAGCTCAAAGACATGACGCTCAAGGGGCCTTCCCCGACCACCATCGCACCTACCCCCTGACCTCTCTATGACCTTGTGACTTAACTCTCTTCAAAGCATATTCTAGGAAACTTCTGTTTGCTTTTTTTTTTTTTTTTTTTTTGGTGGTGCTATCTGCCTCCCCTGCCAGCACATCAGCTCGTCTCACAGAGTTTCATCTGAATTATAGAACGGGGCCTGGTGCATAGTGGGTGCTGACGAAGTATCTGTTAATTACCAGGCTGGGCACAGTGGCTCACGCCTGTAATCCCAGCACTTTGGGGGGCCGCGGCTGGAGGATCCTTTGAGTCCAGGAGTTCAAGACCAGCCTGGGCAACATAGAGAGATCTTGTCTCTAAAAAAATAAAAATAAAAGTACATTTAAAACAATTATAAAAGAAAGGCTTTCTCCCCCGCCACCCCCTATCCATTGAGGCCTTGCAGGAGCTGAGGTGGGGGTGCTGATGGGGGCAGGGGGTGTGCAGGAATGAATTTCTTGGCCAGCTTCCCCATCATGCGGGGAGTAGGGGCAGGGTGGGGGGGTGGGGGAGCTTGGGCAAATGGCTGGGGTTCCTGGGTGTGGGCAGGAACTACAGGGAAACACGAGAGGGCAGGGAACACGTTTGGCGCTAGACATCCGGGACACGGACTTCTGGTTCAAGTGGGAGCCCTGCAGCCCCCTCCCAGCCTGACTCAGTCCCTAACAGAAGGATTGTAAACTGGTGGCCCCAGGGTAGAACGCAAGTAGTGTACCTTTCCTTTAGTTTACAAAGCGCTGCAAACATTAATAATTGTTAACATTTAAACAGCAGGACATTTCAATGTAACAAGCTGTGTTTCCAGCATCTCTGGAAAGGTCTGGACTAAAAGGACCCCCATTCCCACCTGGAAGCCATTCCTGAGGTGGCAGGTCTGTCTCCCTGGGGTGACCCAGGCCCTAGCTCTGCCTGGTTTGAGGCTTCATGGGAAGGAGGGAGAGAGGGAGGGAGGGAGGGAGGGAGGGAGGGAGAGGGGGCCTTGCGGTTGCTCCGGCCCAGACCTGCTTCGGTCACCTCCCATCTCAGACCTGCCTTCCACCTACAAGGCCATGATTACAGCACAGACCCGACAGATGCAGTTTCTGGGGTGCCTCGGGGTGTGGTTTACACAGCAAAGGCCCCAGGACTGTCCTCCCCAGACCAGGAAGAGAGGGCGCATCCGCCTGAAGGATTCAGGAAAAGCTGTCTTGTGTTGTGATCTCCCTCCAGAAAAAGGCTAAAGGTTTATTTATTGGTCCACCAGCAACAGAGAAGACTGAGTCTTTTGAAAACGCCTGGACAAGGAAATAGGGCAGGAAAAGATTTCTGAGACACAGAAACTCAGAAAAAAATTACATGGATATATAGAGATAAAGAGAATCAGGCAAAATATTAAGAATTGAGGAAGCTATGTGAAGGGTATTTGAGTGGATTGTACGGGTTACATGACTTTTCTATAGTTGAAAATCTCCAAAGTTGGTGGAAAAATCAATTAAAAATATATATTTTTACAAGACAGTGTCTCGCTCTGTCACCCAAGCTGGAGTGCAGTGGTGAGATCTTAGCTCGGTGTGCAACCTC